CGAAATACTACGTCTACAATTCCACCTGACAATTCTGCTTACATTTATTCGTCAAAGCAATGGTCGAGCTACGGGTTCCTGCCATGCAATTTTACCAAATTCAACATTATGCGCATCGACGGAATCAGCACTTCTCACTGGAGGGTTTACTACCTAAATCGCACACGCTGCTACCAGAGGTAAAGTCTCAGAAGGAGGTAGAGGTGTGGATCACGCTTTCACTCAACCTATCGCTCCACCGCTTGAAGGTGGCTAAATCCACAATGTCATGCTTGTACGTAATTAAGCGCGTCTGTGCTAAGTTCGATGAAGTGTACTTTGGTGAGATCTTTGGGATTTCCATGCGACCGCAATTAGGATTTAAAATTTAAACCTAGAGACCGTGGACCGCCAAAGACCGCAGCACCCTTGAAAGGGTCCGGCGACGCGCAGTCAACGTAGTACGAGGCCAAGGCCTTACGAGACACGATTGGCTAATCTTGACCGGTTTCCTTTGGATTACAGGCAGCCACGCGGTGACCTAATACGCGCCTTTTACATGCTTCGGAGTCAGGGTTGTTGCCTCGCATCCAGCGATTTCTTTGAGCTGACCACTACCACTAGCTTGTGTGGACAACCTCTCAAACTACGTCTGGCTGGGATATGACTGGACACGAGAAGTTTATTTTCCTCCAACAGAGGGATTCAGGCATGTAATGCCTGCAAATGTTATAAAACATACTACTACCTATTTCCAGTAGTGCTATTTTGTAATTGTTTCGTCAATTGCCCTGCAGGTATTTGCGTTCTTCTCTTGTCATTTATTGCAACCAATGGGGAGTTCAAAGGCGTTCGCCTACCTTTCCATTGATAAGAATGAACTGAACGGTTACAGCGCTCTTTAAGGTTTCCGGAATTTGAGGCTTGTTAAAAAAGTAAATATTTCCAAACAACCTAATAGAACTGCTTATATTTCCTTTAATTTTTACCTACGCTTAAGGTTATTCATTATTATTTCCCTGTTTTCTTCCATGCGCTAATGCTGATTTCCGAGTGAGTATCAATCCTTCACAAAGTTCGGCATTTTGTATGAGTTAGCTTGTCTATCGCATATACCACAATAAATACGGGGAACGCTCGTTGATCCATAGAAGAGTTAAATGCCTCGTGGCTGTGCCATGCATAAGTTATGACACTACTATTAGTCTCAAATAGCCAAAATGTCTGGTAAATGATAAAATTGATAATCATACCCCCTTTCACTTTCCTTAAAATTTCAACAAAGTTTACCCATTACCGGCCAATTACCAACCTGGTTATCTGTTGTCCTTCTTTTAGCGAGAGTGGTCAAACTATCTGAGCGCTTACTATGCTAAACGTGATTCTGAAATATATAATAAAACACAAGTATTCGAATGCGGAAAAATATGGTTATGCATGTACGTCAAGCACTTCTGACTCAATCTTGCACGAGAACAGAGAATTTTACTGTGAGTATTCCGTCTTCTTGGACAGAAACACCACTAACCGGCACAACGACGCTGTTCTTGTCTCCCTGTACACTTGGGCATCAGCAGGTGTGTTTGACTCTAATGTCTTTGCATGCGTAATCTAAGGTCCTTTTAACCTGTCTGAAGGAGACGCCTCGGACCAAAAGACGCTTTACGCCTGCTGGTGGTTTCAGATTTCGTTGGTAGGACACCGATGGTCACCTCTCCGACAGTACTAGAAACAACGTTGGCGTTTCCATAATAATTCATCCACCTGGCACGTAAACAGGCACCCCTATGACAGGTGACCTTACTTTACATTCCATGGTAGTACTTATCCCCGTGTCCTAACCCTAACCTTAACCTTTATCGTGTACAAAATATTGCTACTCACTATTTGTCAATACTATTTTAATAGTGATTATTTTACGCGTGTATGTACAGATGTATATGACGCACCAGCATGTAAGCAATAGGGTTTTCGAAGGTATTTGCCTATTACCCTCACCAAATTGAAAAAAATAAACGAATCCCTTAGGAATTTAGTGCCAACCACCTGCAGTACTGGGGAAAAAATTATTTCCATGTCCAACCTGGTTCACAATGTGAAAAATCCACTCGTTGAATACGTCTTTCTTACCCTTTTTGGGGTATTCATGGTTAGCCACGTCTTCATTTCCTGCAACTTGTAGCCACCGGCTGCTTTAATGAGAGCAGTGAGCACGATTCGGTGAGAGTCACTTGCTGAAGTAGACGCCCCAAGGTGCTCGCCAACTTCACATGTCGACTGCAGCAGAGCCAGCGTCTGCAGCCTCGGAGCGGTCGAAGTTTGGCAGGACTCGTTGTCTGGCTCGATAAGGCTCACCAGCCAGCTAACGATCGCAGCATACGTCAAGCTCACTGTATTCTCCGCCTCCACTGTTTCAACTTGCCAAGTGGGTTTGTCCATGTTGGAGGCTTTGGTCAAATCATTGGTCCAGGGATTGGAGAAGTGCAACTGCATATTCTTGTCGAGGTAAACCCTCACGAGGAAGAGGGGACCGTTCTCCTCAACAGCTGCTGCAGTCAGCCTGATGGGTTCCCTGAATGAGACCTCCTTTCTCAAGTAAATGTGCGCAGATGTTAGAGAGCACGTATTATTTGATTTTAAAAATGGCGTGTTCTATTACGCAAACAAAAATTAATTCATTAAACTTGGAGTCTCCGCAGATCCCATATATCGTTGGCATTACATTTAACAAGCCGCTTTACCTTGGGGAATTTTAAATAAGTAGAGATGAACTCCCAAAAAAGCTACAGAAATACAGTAGATATGCTCAATAAATGTTAACGGAAATATTGAAGGGTATCTTCGATTCGAGTAAATTATCGAAATGAGATTGTAATATGAGTTATCGTGCAGTATCTTCTCAATATATTTCTGTCAGGTCACGATGCCGGTTTTTGAACGGGCTTTCTTTCCGCCACCTGTAAAGACTATATTTTCAACGCCCCTGCTACAAAAACATACAGTAGATCTCCTATCTCTTGAAATGTCAACCGAATTTCTGATGTGAGTTTTCGATTCGAACGAATTACTTAAATAGGATTGTACTACTGATTAGCTTTCAGCCTAATCGCGAGGTATTTTAGTTACGTTAGGATGCCCGCGTTCTAACGAGCTCCTTCTTGACCGCCTAAAAAGTTCGTCCTGTGCAAAATGGCTACTTAATTAGTGTACACTTTTTTCACTGATTTTCACTGTCCTTGTAACCTCAAATTTAATGCACGAAAATATTCTTTCTTGCACTCGTTTGGCAGAAATTTACACCTTCAAATTTTATGCTTGAAAAAAGGATATCAGTTGGTTTTAAAAAAGGTTCCAATTATGATATTTTTAAGCCAGTGAAATTGTCATTCATAGTACATCGTATCCGTCAATTTATTAATGTTGCCTATTAACCATACAAAATGATCGACATTCATAGCAACTTTATAAGAAATATGGTCTCTTTTCCTTATACAATAGGGAAATGTATACCCTTCTTTAGACAGAACCTATACAGTATATAATTTGGAAACCTTGAATACATGTGTAACGGTCGGTTGGTTTCAGACTTGTTCAAAAATCTAGAAACCCTTTTAAAGCCGAAATATACTCTGGATCTATGTAGAAGATAAGAAGAAAGTTTAAATTGCTACCAAACGAATAAAAGAAAGAATATTTTGTGCATATGTTCTATAAAATATATTCGAATTTACAAAACTGTTAAAATCAATGAGAAAAGTGTATACGACGTAAGTAGATATCAGAAGATAAGTTGGCGAACATACGTTTGTTTTCGATAAATTCTCGTCTGGCCTTTACATTTATATGGTATGAATAAACTATGGTGGTTGGTGGACAGATGAAGTGTTTTCCCCACCCTGACAACGAGAACACTTCATCTGTCCACCAACCACCATAGTTT